TTTTGGAGGCCTCATTTTCCTTCCCTTTAAAATGGCAGTTCTCACAGGATATCTTTGAGGCTCCAGGATACAAAGGACAGATTGGGGAGCGGCGGGGGTGGTGGTGGTGGTGGAGGTGGTAGTGATCATGCGCTGCGGGGAGAAGTGCTGGGATGTGCTGGGATCCTGAGCCAGACGGGCCTGTCATTTGCCATGTGTGCCTCAGTTTCCTTGTAGGTTAAACTCTACCCCATAGGGTGCTCAGAAGATGAAATGAACCCCATAACCACTAGAACAGTGCCCAGCACATGGCAGGTTGGACCTCCATGCAGGGAGCCCCAGCCACCCCTCACCCCTCAAAGGGTAGAGAGGAGAGGGGAAGAGAGATGGCGGGTCTGCAGGGGCCTGCAGGCGGGTTGGAGGCAGGCAGGCAGACATATCTCATTTCCTGTCCAGATACCCACTTGCTACACCTGGAACTGGAAGGAAGTGCAGGACTAGGCCAGGACTGGGTGGTGGGGTCTTAGAGACCCAGCATGGCATGGCTGTGGGGTGTTCAACTGGGCGCCTGGAGGGAGGATGCAACCACAGCCCCAAGACTAGGCCAATACTGAAGGAGGAAGCCTGGCAGGCAGCAGCCACAGCCTCCCACTTTGCCCAGCTCAGCTCCTGCCACCTGTCTCCAGCTTCCTACCTCTGCCCACTGAGCTTCAGATGTGCCCACTGCGGAGGCGTAAGGCGCATACCATGGCCTCCTGATGCCCCTGCAGTCCTGGGGAAGCTCCCTTGGTCCTCAGCCCTGCACACTGGGTTCCCTTCAGCTCTTCCCACCTCTACCCACCCCCTTCCTCCCTGCTGCCCACTGCCACCTGGGGTCCCAGGCCTCTTCTGTGCACCATGCTTGCTGCCCTTGGCTGTCTTGGAGCCCAGAGCACACAGGCCTCCCAGTCTTCGCACCTGCTATTTCCTGTCTGGCTGGATGTGCCTCCAAGGCTGGTTCTGTCCACGCTTTCATACCTGTGTGCTATTCTCTCTATGCCACTGAATGCCCCCGTGCAGACATCACTTCCTCAAACCCATTCTCTCCCTACCTCCTTAGCTTCCCAGAGTCAAGGACCTGGGAGTGGAGAAGCCTAGCAGCACTTGGCAGTTGAGTGAATCTGAGCACACATGCGTTCTCTGTGAACCTCCACTTTCTCATCTGAAAAATGGGAACAGGAATCCCAGCTGCCCTGAGGCGTGCTGAGAGGGTGAAAGAGGATGATACACCACAAATGGTGCACTGCAGGTGCTCATAAAATGGCAGCTCTTACCCCATCACAGATGTGAGAGCAGCCAGCCTCCCTGGCTAGAACAAGTGCTGATCCTGGGCACATGGGCACCCTTTGCCTCAGACCTCCGCACTGGCTATTGCCCCAGCCTATGGTGCTCTTCCCAGTATCCACACATGGTTCTCGCCCTCACCACTGCCGTTCCAATCTACGCTCGATGCCACATTTCAGCGAGGCCTTCCCTGAATCCCTGATTTGAAACTGCAGTCACCACTTCCCACTCCGGCACTCCCTAACTCCCTATTCCTGACTTAATTTCCTCCAGATAATCATCGACTACCTCATACATTATATTCACTTATTTTGCCCGTTGCCTTCCTCCTGCTGCTGGAATAATTGTATAACAACTGTGATGGAGGCTGATTTTATTTTTTTGTCTATCTAGTTCACGTTTCTATTCCCAGTACTAATTACTGCCATCACTGCCCAGCAGAGTAAGTTTTCAATTAAAAGAAAAAAGTAATACCACCTAGGGCCAGGTGGTGGCGCAGCGACAACACTAGACCCACATGGGCAAGATCCTGGTTTCCTGTTCTGGGACCTCCCCGGGTATACTGAGTCTGCACACCCACATCCATGATCCCATCCAGCTGAGACTGAGGGTGGATGGCAGCATGAAGACCCTGGTGGGGGTGCCTGCCTGTCTCTATCTGTCCTATCTCTGTCATGGAAGAAATAAGTAAATAAACTTAAAAAAAAAAAACAAAACAAAAACTTATGGGACCAGCAGATAGTGTAATGGCTACATTGCCGGACTCCCATGTAGTCGACTGCAGTTTGAATCCCGGACCCGGTGGCTTAAACTCACACTGGGCACATGTGTGTGTGGTACCCAAGATTCTGGGAGGAGAATGGAAAAGGGATTGCAGTGTGGCCACCCCCCTGGGGAGTGAATTCTCGCTTTTAGTCTCTCTGGCGAGTGCATGCGCCCTTATAGCAAAAATCTCTCAAAAAAACAAAACTTATTTGGGGCCAGTAGGTGGCGTGGTGGTTAGGGTGCTGAAATTCCCACATGGCCAGCCACAGTTCAAGTCCCAGACCTGGTGGCTTGCTTTCTCACTTTCCCTCCCTCTCTGTCTTTTTCTGGCAAAACTCATGTGAAATAATAATAATAAATAAAGTAATTCTTTAAAAACAAACAAACAAAAAAACCCCACAAAACTTATTAAAAGAAAAACACTGGGCTAGCCTGTGGCATGGAGGTTAAGGTGCTGAATCCCACATGGCTGACAGTGAGGTCTGAGTCCCAGACACAGTGGCTTGAGAAACACACCAGACACGTGTGCGTGTGTGCCCAAAATCCCTAGAGGAAAATGGAGGAGAAAGGATTGTAGCATAACCATCACCCCTGGGGAGTGCTTTCTCTCTGTTTTTCTTGTCGGTGAGTGCATACGCTCTAGAGAAAAATATTTTTTAAAAAAACTTGTTTTAGGGGACCAGCAGTTAGTGTAATGGCTATGTCACTGGACTCCCACGTAGTTGACTGCGGTTTGAGTCCCGGATGCAGTGGCTTTTAATCACACTGGGCGTGTGTGCATGCGTGCCCAAGATCCCAAGAGGAGAATGGAGGAGAAGGGATTGCAGCATGGCCATCCCCCCTGGGGGGTGATTTCTCGCTTTCTGTCTCTCTGTCTGTCTGGCAAGCGCACATGCCCTATAGCAAAAAGCAAACAAACAAACAAACAACCTAAAAAAAAAAAAAACTTGTTTTAAAGCGTACCAATGTTTCTTCAGTTAATAAGGTAAAAAACAGCTGCACTGACATGGTTAACTTCTCAGGGTTCTCTGTTCTTTAGGGATGGACTAAATGGCTGGAGTCTTCACTTATAAAAGTGACTTGAACATGATGGAGCTTATATTGAGAAATCAATGTGTTTTTGTTTTTTTGGAGAGTTTTCTTTTCTTTTTCTTTTTTTGCTGTATGGTGTGGGCTTGCTGGAGAGAGAAAGAGAGAAATTCCACCCCAGGTGGGATGGCCATGCTGCAATCCCTTCTCCATTTTCCTTTTGGGATCTTGGGCACACATGAACATGTGCCCAGTGTGAGTTTTAAGCCATCGGATCTGGGACACAACTGCAGTAGACTACATGGGAGTCCAGTGACATAATCCTTACACCCTTTGCTGGTCCCCAAAGTTTCCATTTTTCATCTTCTAATTCCATGTCCCCATGAACTCTCTGATGTTCCCTCCTATCATCGTCTCCAATACTCCTGCCAGCCCTGTCCTTCAGGGAGGTGGGACCAGGTGAAGAAGCCTGCACTTGGTAGGATGCTGGGCCCTAAGTCAGCCCAGATGACAGATGTGAGGTTCAAGCCACCTGCCTAGAGTCACCAGTCACAGCCACCAGGTAACCTGGCTGTCTTCCCCCACCAGACTAGCAGGTCTGTGTGCCCTGTACTGGGCCCAGGGAGGCTGCTGGTTAGCTTGGGGCCTGGGTCTGGGGTTAATCAAGAACACCAGGGGCCCTGAACACAACCCAGAGGCTGGTGGCTGCTCGGTTACTGCATTGTCTTAGGGGCAGGGATTGTCCACCCAGCTGCTCAGATCTGTTTGGGCTGAGCTGGCTCCCACAGCTGGTCTGGGGGGACCTGCTGAAACATACAGATCCCTCCTAGCCCTCACCACAGGTTTCTACCAAGATCTTCTAGACCCTAGCATGGAGTTCAGGTCCAGGCATAAGGATGGAGCAGCAACTAACTGAGGCTGCAGTTTAGCGACTACACAGTGTGGAGTGGGGAGTGTGCACTGGATCCCAGTGACCTAACAACACCACAATGCTCCCAGCTCGCTGCCTTGTCCTGCCTACCTGCTCACTCCAGATGCAAACCACCTGCTTTCATTTACTGCAGGCTGTCTTGGGAAGCTCCTGGGGCACCACCACCTTCCCCCTCCACACACACCCCACAGGCATGCATGCACATGTGGGGTGAGGGTCTTATCTGTTTCCTCCAAGCCTAGGACAGGACCCCAAGTGGCTCCTCAGTCAATGCTAGGCAAGTGGACACACACACACATTCAAGTTAAGCTTTGCACAAGCACAATGAACTGACACACATGCATGTCGAGCCTTGCGCACAATCACACTCCACAAGCAAGTTCAGCCTACTTAAAGCAAGCACAGAGCCTTCACCATGCCCACCTCCCAGATTCTCTGTCCTTCTGAGACCTCTTTGCATAAACGGAAGGCCTCAGAAGCACCACCTAGGAGCCCTGGGCCAGGTCAGCAGGCCTTATGGGAATGTCCCCGAGCAGGTCTGGTGCTTTGGGGCTGGGCCGTCACTGTCCATGCGGATGACAAGAGCCAGAAGAGGGACTCTCCAGGCCTGTCTGACTGATAAACTGCTCATCTGCCCCAGCCCTGTTGTTCAAGGTTATCTGCAGGGCAAAGGC